AATGCAGAATCTTCATAAACACAATATGATTGGGTTTTAAGAAGAGATTTCTTCTTAAGAACGGTTGGTAAATGAGGCCCATTGTAACCAGTGTAAAACACCAGTATTTCCACACATTAACATAACAGAACTTCTAAACATGTTGGGTGAATTGATATTGTTCATTTATACTACAATTATTGTAGTATTGGAAGGATTGTTCTAGAAACATGGATGCTCACAGTTCAAATTTATTTGTATAGCACTTTTTACAACAACAAGCACTGTCACAAAGTAGCTTTATCAAAACTGAAAATGTCAAAATCAGCAGGAGGGTGAGCGGAAGACGCAGGTGGCTCCAGTGTGGTCAAGAGAGCCTAGGCAGTGTTTATCTGTGCTTAAAACTTTATGGCTAAAGTAGCTCTGTATCTGTTCTCCACAGAGAGCAACACTGCAGGAAGCAGAACCTACAGACTGACTGCAGTGCATCTGTGGCTGCTGTGTGTTCTCCTGCCATCCTGTACTGCCATCACACTACCATGGTTCATGTTCACTGCAGAGAGAGACAACTTACAGACCAGTTACACCAACATGACTACAGACACCAACCTGATAAAAGAGAAAGAGACCAGTTACAGAAAGAGAGAGATGGATTGGAGAGGAAGTTTTCTGAACTGGGTAAGTGATTAAGTGGTTAATGTGATTCTTTAAGTGAGACGTGTTCCTGGATCAGGATCTCTTTGCTGTTCCTCAAACTACATTCTTCTGAACTTATCTGATGGCATCAGTGTGAGCCTGTCTGGTGTTTAGAGACTCTATTTAACTGGTATTCACTTTATATTCTCTGTAACTGAATATATTCTACTCTCACTAGAGTCAGCAGATAGCTAAGATGCTAACAGGCTAACACCCCAATAATGAAGGACAATCTGTTACTTTAAACTGCATCATACAAAGTGATGAATATGTTATTTGCATGCCTGTTATGAGCTGAGTTTAAACAAGAGATGACATCAAATGTGAATACAGCACCATGCTAACACCCAGCTAGCTTGACACTGACATCCGAAATCCCATAGACCATCATTTCCATAATCCAGAACAGACATAGCACTAGGGGGGGTCCCCTGAAAATGTTTGTTGACCTTTTCATATCAATTATCTAAAGTTGCAAACACTACTATTGTCTACTTGTTAGCAAGCTAACTCATTATCTTAACATCATACTGGCAGTATAACATTAGAAAAGGCTACTAAGTGTCTTTGTTCAAAAGTGCGATCAGTTGATGGTTTAATAGGTCTATTCAGTTGTATGTCATTGTACTACTCGTGTGTCTTCTTGGCTGAGAAGTTGGTCATTGACTGAAACAGACAATCCTACATGGCCTCTAACAGCCTCACAGGGAATATAAGGGAACAACTTCACATTAGTCTGTAAGAGTGGAGATTTTGCTGTTGGTTCATTTATTTCCTTTTGTGTGACTCTTAATATGATTAATCAGTACTTATATGTTGTAATTTACATGTTAGATGGTTTTGTGAAGTTACTGTGTGTTTTCAAGCCTCCGTTTCCATTGTGATCACCAGTAGTAGCTGAGATAAAAATGACCTCTTAAAAATGCTAATGATGCCAACATCTGATACCAGCTGATACCATGTGATGTAAGCCGAGTGTACGCTGCTGTGCTAATGAACAAATGACTCAGTCTGGCAGCGAATGTGGGCCAACTTAGTTCATTGTTCTGCTGTGCTGGTCGTAACCTTTCCACTGGCAGTGGAGAGGGAGGTGGATGTTTCGGGGGTGGCGGTGGCAGGGCCTTGTGTCTCAGGCCTCTGAGCACAAGCCGATAAAACATATGGGATGATCCACACCTGCTTTTTACTGATGACTAGTGATTTTACTGCTTCCTACTAATTATTTAAAATTACATTACTAAATTTACATCATACTACAACCACCTCAGTCAGAAAGAAAAGAGAAGTTTTATTTTAGAATAGCTGACTCAGACTTGTGGGTAGCGCTTCAGCTGCATTGTCTTGATGCTTCCTCGCTTCCTCTGGTGTTTATGCTGGTGTGTCCAGCGTGATGTCTTCTTGTCAAAGTCAGAAAGTCTACTTACTTTAACCAATATGAGTCGTCACACCCAGTCAGCAGTGCTGGGAGTGTTATTTGAAAAATGTGTTAGACACATATCTAACACATAACACATATCTGTTAAAAATATAAACTGTAATCTAAAAAGGGTCAATAACAAAGAAATACATAAAACAATGTAATAAAGACAAGAGAAAACAGTTTCAACATGCCTTTTATTTAAAACAAGGCAAAAAGGAATATTGTACTGTTTAAAGAAACAATATGAGGCTGTGTATGAAGAGCACCCACATCATGTGACCTCCACTCAATGATTCACGCAACACTGGCTACTCATATAAGAAACATTCACTCGACCAGAGTTCAGATGTCGTCATCACCACAGACCAAAAAAATAAATATTGTAAGCTGTTGAAGGCGGTGCTTTGTATTAGAAACACTGTGTCCAGGGAGGTTGTGTATTCAGACAAGTAATCACACAGTAACATAACACAGTATTTGTCCAAAAGTATCCAGACAGTCCTCATAAGTGCATGCATTGCTGACACAGGGGTTCAGTTGTGCATACACAGTTACTTTAATCTCCACAGAAAAGCACCGACCAGTAGATATAGGATACAGTACACTGTGGTGGATACAGTACACTCTGGACAGGACAACACTGAGATCATCTGGTGCCCCTGGGTATCAGATCTATGGTGCTCCATCTCTGTTTAACCTGCAAATCTCACTATTACACACACCATGCTTCACAAAACTAACATAACTCCTCAGCTAAGGCCTTACCAAAACCCCTGTGCAGTCACGTGGTAGATCTGGCCGTGGCTCTGGATTAGCAGCACATTTCCAGTCCCAAGCATGGGCTAGAGGGGTATAAAGCCCCCAGCATTGAGATGTGGAGCAGTGGAAGTGTGTTCTCTGGAGTGATGGAGCTGCATCCAATGCTTTTAGACGAGTCTGAATGATCCAGAACCAATCATCCAACATCAGTACCTGACCTCACTAATGTTACCGCTCTTGTGGCTGAATGCAATCAAATACTCACAGCAATGTTCCACCATCTGGTGTAAATCCTTCCCAGAAGAGTAGAGGCTGTTACTGCAAGAAACATTGGATGAGTAGGTGTCTTCCCACAATCTGCCAACAGAGCGAGGACTGCTTGTACTGGTTGACAGAGAGACAGAGGGAGTGTGGAAGTGGGTAGACAGCACAGCACTGACTACTGGCTCACTGAACTAAACTCAGTTATTCACTTAATCCTTCAGTTTGCAGTGTCCCAGTAGAATATGAGTGCAGGCTAATAGAGCATGTGCTCTCAGATACACACAAATAGATACACAGTAACACTGTTTAAAACCTCTTTCAATTTTAATGTCTATCGAGTGCAACTTAAAGCTGCACTATGTGAGTTTTGGTGATTTGGAGACCTCTCTGGTGATACTGGGCAATTGTACATAACAAGCTGAAGGACACTTCAGGCGTCATTCAAAACTTGAACTGATTTTTTACTGGATTCTAACTGACTTATCTGTTGTTATCATCGTGTCCTCATCAGTATAGAGTTGATTTTGCATTTGAGAAATCTAAAGAGCAAGCCTGGCCTTCTTTTAGAGCCCTGAGTATTAGATGTTATATGGAAAGATATACAATATGATCTGGAAACACACGCAAGCCCTCTAACTATGTTTTTAAACTTCGAATCAGTAAAAACAATGAGGTGCTATGTCTGGTAAATCTGTAATGCCATTATGGCCTGAACATTCACAACAATACGTGGAAAAAACATGGATATAGACATGAAGACAAGCATATAGATAAGTAAATAAATAAAACGGAAACTAAACTCTGGTTGTTTTACAACCCCAATTAAAACACTAATATATTATGTGGAACAGTAATAAAAATAGAAAGCAGTGATAAGCAAATTGTGTTTGACCTGTATACACCGATCAGGGATAACCTTATGACCACCTCCTTGTTTCTATGCTCATTGTCCATTTTATCTGCATTAATCATTTTGAACTTTAAACTGGTAACAATCTGGATGGTCCACACACAACATCTAATATGTCCATAATCAGAGAGGTTGACTCTCTGACCATAATACATGATTCCACTGTGCATCAGTTAATTTCAGATGAGCTCGAGCCCAGAGAAGTCAGCAGCGTTTCTGGCTGTTGTTTATATATGATATGATAGTGTTGTACTGACAAATGAACAGTGGGTTGCTGAACAATGTTTATTAACAGTGGCTTTCAAAAGTATTTTTGCGAGCCTATGTAGTGATTTCCATCACAGAAGCATGCTGGTTTGTAATGCAGTGTGGTCTGTGGGGTCAAAGGTCACAGGCATTCAGTTGTGGTTTTCGGCCTTGTCCTTTACACATACAGATTTCTCCAGATTCCCTGAATATTTTGATGATACCCACTGCAGATGGTGAAATAACTAAAATCTTTGCGATATCTGGCTGAAAAACATTATTTTTAAACTGCTGGATTTTTGTTGAGGCATTTTTGTTAAAGTGCTCATAAAGTATGTACTGATGTATATCTCCAAATAACGAAAGTCGATAAATACATACATGAAAAATCTTTTCTTTATGCTCTTTCATTCAAATGCAGGTCAGAGAAGATATATGTCACTGCTTTTTGCTTTTATTTGCATTTTGTCTACTGTCCCAACGTTTTTGCAATTGGGGTCGTATAATACTATAAATTTAATAGGCTATTGCTGGAGATTAAGAACCAACTGTAAGAAAATACACTGAAAGCAGGAGCTCTGCTGTTTCACATCTCAACCACAAACAGAGGAAGTCCATTTTAAGACAGCTCTAAGAACTCACTTCCTTAGTGATTATGGACTGACTATAAATCAACCACACAAGCAGAGAAGTGTAGCAGTGCAGTTGTATTTATACAGACAGACACACAGTAATTCTGTGTTTTAGTGAGTCTTACAGATCAGAGATGTCTCAGAATGTTCATGATGTTATCAGTAATGAGGAGCTGAACAGAGGAGAGCGAGTGGAGATGGGGGTTGATATCTATGAAGGTGCAGACACTGTTAGAGGCCATGAACCCAACACAGACATGGAGGACACCAGAACCAAGAGGATCATACAAACCCAACATTTAGGTAACAAAACAAATTCTCTTTTACACATTTAATTTTTAGAAATAATGTTTATCTATCATATAACATTACAATATAGCTAACAATGTATGTCAGTGTTGTACTGATTGATAATTATTCATTTTAAATAAGTCTAGTCTCGGTTTGCAGCCTCTGTATTTAAGGCTAATGCAAAAAAGGTCCTAAAAGAAGTGAATGTAGAAAAATCTTATTTTACACTGCAGGAATCAGATGCTACAGACTGGCTGCAGTGTGTCTGGGGCTGCTGTGTGTTCTCCTGCTGACTGCCATCACAGTGCTGTTGATGAAGTTTACCACAGAGAGAGACCAGTTACTGACCAGTTACACCAACCTGACTGTAGAGAGAGACCAGTTACAGAAAGAGAGAGACGGATTTGAGAGGAGCTTTTCTGAACTGGGTCAGTGATTAGTGAACATGATTTCTTTAAGTAAGACATGTTAGTGACTCAGTATCACTTTGCTGTTCCTGAAACAACATTCCTTTTCACCAATCTGATGTCATCAGTGTGAGTCTGGTATCCTCACTGTGCCACTACAAAATGCACCAGTATTTCATTATTTTAGTTCATAAAAGTATTAAAATCTTTATTGACTATATTCAAGCAACACCTCATTTATGATTTATTAAAATCAAGAGGCTTAGTAATTTTAGTAGTAAAAAGCCTTCCCAGAAGAGTTGAAGCTGTTATAGCTGCAAAGGGTGGGCCGACATCATAATAAACCCTATGGATTAAGAATGGGATGTCACTTAACTTCATATGCGTGTGAAGGCAGACGAGCGAATACTGGCAATATAGCGTAATCACCTCTCAAAAAAGCCCAGTTGTTATTGCTGAAATCTTTGTTCATAAAATACAACTAGATGAAGAATTGCCAGATAAACATCACAGGTTGCTGCGAACAGACTCATTTTAACTGACTTACATTGTTTATTCTCTGTAACTGGTTATATTCTGTTCTCATTAGAGAATCACAGTCAGAATCAGAATCACTTTATTTTGGCAAGTGTGTGACACATACAAGGAATTTGCCTTGAAGAGTACAGAGATGTATGACATGTAACATACTGAACTGACCAGACAAGCACACTATTAACAAGCATTTAACTGGGGCAAAAAAGAATGGAACAGAATAAAGAACAATAAAGAATGAAAGAATAATAAAGAGGCAGTGTGAAAGGAGCTGAAGAGATGTGTGAATATCTGTACATAAGCAGATATTTGATAAGCTGTACAAATGCAGGTCTGAGGAAACATAATGTAACTAGAAAGGTGCATTTTCTGAAGCTGCTGAGACATTGCTAGGTGATCGCAATGGCATCCCAAGTGGTTGCAAGGCTGTTGGTAGGGAGTTGCTGTGGTGTCCCATGTGGTTGCTAAGGTGCTGCCATGGTTTTGCAGAAGATTGCTAGAGCCTGACTAGGCAGTTGGTATGGTATCCCAACTGGTTGCTAGGGTGTTGCTAGGTGGTTGCCATGGTATTCCAGATGGTTGCTAGGGTGTTGCTAGGACTATCATGTCAATATTCAGTTTTAATCCAGGATAATTACAGCAAATTAATCCAGGATCAACGTAAAGACAGTGGTCCTGAAAGGGCATTAGTCATTTTTTTCAGATTTAACCTGAAGATGATGGTCCTGAATACGAAACTGATCCAATACTCTGATATTGATATCAATTACTCAACAACACTTTTGTCAATGCCTTCTTTTAAAGTACAAGTGTGAGGTGCTGGATGTTGATAGGTACTCTGATGATGATCCTGGATTAACACTGCTATTGCCTATTTATTAGCAAGCTAACTCATTAACCTAAAAGCATGCTAGCTAGATAGCATTAGAAAAGTCTACTGAGTGTCCTTGTACAGAAGTGTGGTCAGTTAATGGGCTGAATAGGTCTATTTAGTTTTATGCCATCATGCTACTAATTTGTCTTCTTGGCTTAGAAGGTGCTCTTTAACCAACACAGACAATCCTATATGGCCTCTTGTAGCCCTCCCTGTACACAGTACAGCTCAGTGTCAGCAGTGCTTAAATGAACTCTTATATATAAAGTCCAGGCAAAAATCCTATTGAATTTAAAAATACACCAGTCTTATCCTGAATGATATTATATCACCCACCCCTACTTGAAAAAACTGACAATGTTTCAAGTTCTCTGGGTTTTTTTCCTGCTGTGTGAGTCACTGAATATAAAGTGAATAATCAGCATTTATGTTCTAACTTACATGTTAGATTTGATGGTTATGTGAAGTTACATTGTGCATTCAAGCCTCACATACCACTATAATCACCAGCAGTAGCTTGAATCTTGTTATCAGTGCTTATGAGTTTTATGCATTGTAACTTATTTGTATCTTGATTATGTTTTACATGATTTAGTCAGTTGGTGTTTGACTGTGCAGTCTGTAGTTCGTGTACAGCATGTAAACAGTTGTGTAATTGAGGGAAAATGTGTATTAATATGTGCAGCCACAAGAGGTCACCATAACTCACTGAGTTAAGTCAGGCATTACTGCCAACCTCATTTATAGCCTTGTGCTGAAGTTTATTAATGTATAGTATTTTTATTCTGATTGACATTACTGTAATTATTAGTTGTTTATGACTATTATTTTTATTTCTCAGTTTATTATTAATGGTCTAATTCACTACATTACACTATTATTATTATTATTATTATTATTATTATTATCATCATCATCATCATGCATCATTACTACTACCAGACCCAGACCATCAAGTTATAGGCCACGGGGCACAAATGTTTTAAAAAGCCCATACAAAGCCACCTTTGTTAATGTGATTTTTTTATGATATCATAGCAGGTTAAATGAGGGCTATAAAGCTGTTGAGTTAACTATTTGTTATCCAACACACTTCAGTGACACAAAAAAAAACAAAAAAACAAAACAGTAGCATGACTGAGCACACATTAACAAGGAACACAGGTTAATATAAACATGACAACCACTGGAACAAAGCACCAAATCAGACAGCTGAGACGTTCATAACAAAGACGAAGAAAACAACACCAGCACCAAACTTTAAAAACAAACATTATTTGAACGTCTGGAGCTTCAAATTTGAAGTACATTCACATGCAGCGCACTGCTAAATAACCTAAAAGCTTGACTGAGGCAATGGTGGATAGTGTACCAGTTGCTAAGCAATGATTGGAGGAGAAAATGAGCAGATGTTTAAGAAAAATGTGGAGAGGGTTATATTCAGCTGTAACTCGTTGATGAGGCTTAAATGAGAAATATTGTCTCTGTTCTGCTAGTAAAGTTCCCACTGTGAGCCAAAACAGCTGATGATTCTGTCATAATTACTTGTGGGGGCCCCTAATGGCTCGGGCCCCTGGGCACTCACCAATAACACCCATGAGATGATCTGGGCCTGATTATCACTGGTAGTGTAACTTGTAATTATTGTTCCTGTTTATCAGTTTCATTACTGGAATATTATCATCCTGGATCTGTCAGTCTATCAATAATTGCCAATAAACACCACTAGACACTCCACAGTGACAGTCACATCCAAACCAGCTCCCTACAAAACATCCTTTACAGTCCTCATATAAATGAATCATAAACATGCTGTTTTTACATGGTTGATCACAGCTAAAGATATTTTGTTCAACAAATGAACAGATATTATTATTATTATTATTATTATTATTATTATGTGAAATGTTGACATTGACTGATGGATTTGGAGGGTCTTCAAGAGGCTCACTGAGGAGCATCAGGCACATCAGATGGCAGTGATTGGTTAAAAGGAATGTAGTTCCAGGAATAACAAAGAGAAACTGATGCAGGAATGTGTCTTATTTAAATAAATCATATTCACTGTAATAGATTAGAATAGAATCTATGACTGTGACTGTTTTAATAGTGCATTATTGTTATGAATGTGTTCTGAGCTCATCTCATATCATTCTGTCTGAACAGAGAGATTCATCAACCAACTAAGATGGAGATACTTCAGCTCCAGTATTTACTACATCTCTACTGAGAAGAGCTGGAATAAGAGCAGACAGGACTGCACAGAGAGAGGAGCAGACCTGCTGATCATAAACAGCAGAGAAGAACAGGTGAGAGTCTTGTGGGGTGGGTAAATAAAAAAAATAAAAAAAAAAAATCACTTTTACACATAAAGGTTATAACATGTTGCTGTTCAGCTGGCACCTTTACTGATGTTGGTAATAAATAGTTTTAAAAAAGTATTACACGCCTTAATCTTATTAAAGTGCACATAATGATAAAGTTTGTGGGTTTATACAGCAAAATCAGTTGTAATTCATTTTTACATGATCATTTTCCAACCTCTCTTTATCCTTTAGAATTAAACAAGCTGTTATTGTTCCTTTAAGACTGATATATGTAAATGATCTCTGTTCTGATTGGCTGTCCTTTATTGTGTCTCAAAAGCAGTTCAGGCTGGTGCACTCCTTATAACTTTAGTGTGAGTGGGCGGGGCTAAACTGCTGTAGGAGGATAAATGAAAATGTGTTATGAATTCTAAACAGGATGATTTTGTAATTTCATTTCTCCATGAACTGTAGAGTGAGTGTTTTTTAAAGCTTTACCATTGTTTACATACTACACTAAACCCTTTTATTAAAAAAGGTTTTCCATGTTATGAGCCTTTAAGTATCAGTGCATACAGCGTGGAGAGACTTTTCTCCAAACCAAAGCAGCTTTAAGATGATCAGTGGTGACTTTGTATCTGAATATAATCTCTCTTCTCTCACTGGAATAGAAATTACTTAAAAAAGATAGTTCTTCACGGGTTCCTTAGTGATAAAAATGGTTCTTTATAGAACCATCAGAAGAAAGTATAGGTCCTTTCACATGTGCTTACTTCTATTGTTACGTGTCCGGCCTGGATAAGGGGTGTCTGGCCGGTATATTTCTCTCTCTCCCGCTTGCCCGTTCGTTCTCTCTCTTTTTCCCTTTCTGTTCCGTATGTCTCCTCCCTCGGTTGCTCCCTATCTCTGCTACAGGTTGGCTGCGGTGTCAGTCGTCGTTAGGGGCTTGACGTATACCACTTGATGGCAAATCTTAATGCAGAGTTCCGGCCCTGGAGGAGGGACTTGAACTTTAAAAGCAGCCCGGCAAAGCTCGTGAAGAAGCTGGCGTTACCCCTGCGCTCCAAGCTGTTTAGGCGTGCTCCTAGTTGTAGTTGCTGTCGCAGACACAAAAGCTTTCTGTTCTTTCTGCTCATGCAGTTTTGGTGTATGTCTGCGATAGCTTTGTCTGTGTGTTTGTTCGGTTCACTTTAGCTTGTGTTTTTGTGCCTCACACTGTTAATCACGCTAGCCTTGCTGTTAATGGTTGTCTATGCTCTCTCTCTCTCCCTTTCTCTCTCTCATACACTGCTTTGCTTTCTTGGGGTTCTGGACAGGTTAGATGGGCGCGCTCATACATTTTACATCACGTAGCTGCCAATTGTATAGACACCTTAGGACCCAAGACCTCCTTACCCTTCTTCCCCAACCTTTTGATTGTTACCTACTTTCCCATCCCTCTTTTCTTCCTCCCCCAATCCCCAGTATCTCTACTTAAACCATATCAGACCATACATTCATTAGACTGGTGACAGACTGGTTACGGACTGCTGATCAAGCTGTGCCCTGCGTGATTCTCTGCATGCACGTGAATAAGACTCCAAAAGATCCAGTCTCCTGACTGTTCCTGATGGATTTCTAACATGAACACTCAAAGAACCCTTTCCATGATTAAAAAGTTCTTTGCATCGTGAAAGCGTTCTTTAGATTGGTGGAGAATGTGCTGTAGATGGTTCTATATATCACCTTTTTGAAAAGGGTTCTATATAACCCCAAAAAGAGTTCTGCTATTGTTACAAGCTTGACATCATAACAATAGCAGAACCTTTTTTGGTGCTATCTAAGAACATTTTAAAAAAGGTGATATATAGAACCATCTACAGCACATTCTCCAACAATGCAATTGCAAAAGGCTCTTTGAGTGTTCAAAGTTCTATATAGAAGCATTTTTTAAATAAAGAACCACTGAAGAACCATGTTTTTTAAAAGTGTAGTCACTGGACCACAAGCAGTTAACAGTCACCCCAGATGTTTGTCTAGAGCTGTAAAAGACCCTGATTAGACTGTGTTAAGCTGCTGCTGCAGTCATTGTTGTTGTAGTTATTATTGTTGTTATTATTATAATAGACAGTTAAATATGATATAAGTGAAATTGTGTATGTGGTGATGTGTTATAGTGGTCATCTCACTTTAATAGGACTTTATTGAAAAGCTGAGAAGAGGTCAGAGAGCTTGGATTGGTCTGACTTACAGAGACACAGAGAAAGCCTGGAGATGGGTGGACAACTCAGCACTGACCACTGGGTAAGAGATCACTGAACTGAACTCTGGTGGTGATGCAGTTTCTGGGCCAGATTCATAAAACTCAGCAGTAACAGAGCAGCGTCACACAAAATGTACAGCAGGTCAATAAGAGCTGTTCACAAAGTCACTGTGGTAGTGATCATTAGTGCACTGTTTCTCTTTAATGTTGCAGGATTTTCACCTGTGTCCTGGTCAGAAGCCAATCAGAATTAACATGCAAATGAATTCATTCATATTCATATTCATTCATATTAAAAGACCTAAGTGAAGCTCTAATTAGCTGAAAAAAATGAAACCAAAGAAACAAAGAAAAACAAAATTCTCAGAAACCGAGCTGCAAAATTTAAGAGACGTTCTGACAAAAAAAAAGTCTGATAAAGATGATTAATTTTCACTAAGAAACAAAAGACAAAATGACAAAATGAAAAAAATTAAAATAAAAAAAATAAAGATAAACTCCTAAAAGTCCATTATATTTTACTGTACAGGATTCCATTTTTCATTTAAATAATTAAAACTTTTTTTGATAAATTAAAATTTAAATCAACCTACTGGAATTTAATTACTATGGTCATTTTTGCTTTTATTTCTTATTTTTAATGATCTCAGGAATTCACTTTACAAATTCAATTTCAACTAATACATCTTTAATGCTTGATGTCAGGGATGAAAATTAAATATAAAATACTGACTAAAACTCAGCATTAATCCTCGTTTATGAGGGAATGAATGTGTTTCCTCCACACTGTTTACTCTCAACATCACAGTAAATCTGGTGCTGTGTTTTATGAATCTGGTCCACTGACTCATCATCACTCCTCACTGCTCTGATACACACAGTACACACTCTCATTCTCTCTTTCAGCTTCTGGAGACCTGGACAACCAAACGTTTATGGAGGGTTATGTGTCGTAACTGGCTCTGGGTCTGATCCTGAACAGAACTGGGCTAGTGATAACTGTTATCAACAGCATGTTTGTATCTGTGAGAAGAGAGTATTTAGTTAAATTCCTGCATGTGAGTGAATTTTGTTTTTCAGGATTGATCCTCTTTAATCAGTACTGATCTGTGTTCTGATGATATTGATTTTCTGATGGAGGATAAAGACTTTATAAAAAGATACATTTTTAAATACAGAGCTCCTCAAGAATCTGGTTTCCTTCTTTCTATCTAATGCAAAAAGTCAAAGAAGAAAAATAAAACAATTTTGTGCCATAAATGATGTTAAAATCTTAAAATCAGTTAATATTTCACAAGATTTACACAAGTTAAACATTAATTTGACCTGATGCCATTATTATAATCTGAAATTAGCAAAAACTAGCAAATGGATGTTATTTTAAGGTTTTTCTTAAAACTTCATTTGGTACATTTTTTAAAGGTGAGAATGAGAATGAACAATGTTCAAAAACAAAACTAGAGAAACTTCACTTTTAAATCAACACTGTAATGTAAAATAAGATCTATTTATTTGATGAACAGACTAGATCAGGGGTCGGCAACACGTAGCTCTTTTACTGTCCTCTTGCGGCTCCACAGCAGAATTAGAGAATCCTCCTTTGCAGTATAAAGCTCTGCTGGTCTTTCTAACAGTTTTAATAATAAATGGTCTTAAACTCTGGAGTTAATGTAGCCTACAACTACTAATTCACCCTTTAACCCTAAAGATTTATAAGCACTCTAGCTTGTTTCCTGATACGTTTAATCCGCAATGAGAAACTGTCAAACTCTAAAAAGTCGTGATGCTGAAGTCAATTTCTCGTTCACCAGTTCCTCATTTGAATTTTCCCATTCCATATTAAATGCTGCAGCAGTTACGTTCTGGCATCTCAGCCGCCGTTTAAGGAGGAAAATTCAAACAAGAAGCTGGCGAATGAGAAGACCCCAGCCTCGTAAAAATCTAATGTTGAGAGACATTTTACAAGAAACTGCTCCACATTTGAGGAACTGTTTCCTGCCGGAGATGCGAGAAAAGCAGCTATAGCTGAGCTAATGCTCTAAAGCAGAGCAAAGTAAGTCTGTGTTGTTGTTTATATTTTAGCCTATAGTAGGACATCAGCACACACTGAGACGTATTTAAAGCCAAGATGGTAAAATGGACAAAATATTGTGGCTCCTGAGGTAGTTTGATTTTTGTTGAAAGGACAAAATGGCTCTTCTTAACATTTGGGTTGCGACCCCTGACCTAGATGAATCTGAGAATCTTGAGAAGCTTTTTGGTTCTTTCACTATATAAAAAGTTTCAACTTTTTGTAATTTTGGAATGTTTTTAAGACTATTAAGCTAGAAGTCTGTACAGTTTAATTCTTAAAATTATAATAAAAAATACTTTAACAGCCTTAAAAATTGCTTTTCATTGTTGAGATCTTTTTTTCTCATTTTTCTCATTTCATTTTAAGAAGTCTGCATAATGAGTTTCTAAAAGCTGATTAATCAATCTTACACATACTAATCTGGACTAGTCCGTTAATCTAAACTAAAAAAACAAGATTTCTGTTGTTCATTATTAAGTCTTACTGGCTTGTTGAGACTGTATTTGTTGCAGTGTCAGACCCACACAGGCTGAAGATTCTCCACAGGGGGCGCTATAAGTACCTTTTATAAGAACAGCGCTTTGCCTCAGTTGCTAGATTTACATATTTTATGCATGTTTAGCAGATTGTCATGTTGAATAAAAACTATTTTAATTTTACAGCAAGACGAATATTCACACAATAGTCACAAGTCAAAATTCACATAAGCGTTTGACACCTGCTTGAGTTGGATACAAAGAAACAAATTATTATGTAAACTGTATAATATTGTAAATGTGAACACAATAAAGTCAAATGACTGATCAAGTGTTTGTTTTTGTTCAGCTGGAGATACAAATCTGGACAGAAGGCAGCAGATACCAGTGAACTGATAGACATTAAAACACACTTTTATGATGATCATATGATAAAATACAGTTGTATTAAGCAAAAAGCCATAAGACATTGTAGAGAGTTTATTCTCTTGTACAGAGCTGAGAGAAACTAATTAGCAGAATTCTTTTGCAACATTCCTTTGTTCTCTTGAATTTAGTCTTACAGCTGGCTGGAAAACTGGTTAATGACACTGTGAGCTCTTAGCTGTGTCTCAGAGTTAAGGATGGAGTTCTCAGTCAGTGCGTCACTGAATGCTGCACCATTTTGTAGGTACTGAGAAATGCACCCTTCATATCAGTGAACTAAAAGAACTTCCACATCTTTAATCCCCCACAATCCTTCACACGAGTTTGTAGAAAAATGCTATAAAATGTAAGTTAACAGAATTTCATTAAGGTAATTTTGCTATTTAAAAGCTATTTAACCCAGTTAAGCTAAAACTATTTAAAAGCTGCTTTTGTGAGTCTATATATTACATTGTCATCTCAACACAAGTTTTAACCATCCACAGTAACCAACCCCTGAAGCCCAGCTGCTGGTGTGCTGTATGATGCTGTGACTCTGTGACTGTAGCTCTCTCGCAGCTCAACAGCTCACAGCTGTTGTTCTTCAATGTTTAGGACCACCCCAGGACCACCACAGAGCAGGTATTATTTGGGTGGTGGATCATTCTTAGCACTGCAGTGACACAGAGGGTGGTGGTGTGTTTGTGCTGGGCTGCTGGAGTTTTAAACATTGTGTCCACTCATT